GAAAAAGGGGGGTTGGTTCATAAATACAGAGGGATGGTCTATCATCTATGAGAATAATGACCATCGGGTTCCGAGGAGAATAATGACCATCAACAGCCTCGCACAAGCAGAGGTACTCGCTCTTTATGAAGGGCACGTTTCAGGTTGAGGGGATGACGAAGTCTGCCCAATGGCATGTGTTGTTCTACTCGCCGGGCGGACGACAAACCTTGCCCGCCTCTGCTGGGCTGGGCTTCTGCTGGGGCTTTCTTCCGTGATTTTCCAGACATCAGGAAATGGGAGAGGAGACATTCTTCCTTCTGAAGCTTCCCCTCGGGTCACTATAATTTTCAAATTTCGAGTTTTTTTGAACTTTTTTCAGATGTTCCTAGTCGTCGTTTTGCTCGTCCCCCGGTCCCCCTCCCCCGACTCCTCGCCAACCTTCTCCCATCCCTTTCTTCGGCCCAATTTTGCTCGAATTTCTGCGTGGTCAGCTGTGCCACTTATAGATTCATGGAGCTGAGGGGATGAATTTGTTCTTTTATGTTTATGTTACTTTATGTTACTTTATGTTATTTTATGTTTGAATTTTTCTTATTCCACGGAACAGATATTTGAATTGGGGAGACTGCAGTGAAGAAGTTTAAAAAGACGTGTGCTTGGGGGGAGGCACGATTATATCTTTTTTTTTTAAATGACATTTACGTTTGCCATTGTATTTGTGGAGTTCATTATCCTTCTCGAAAAGATAGATTTGAAGTGGTGTATAACTTACTGAGTATTCAGTATAACTCACGTCTTCGTGTACATACACGTGTAGATGAAATAACTCCCATCTGTTCAGTAGTCAAAATATTTCCGGCAGCTGGTTCGTGGGAACGAGACGTATGGGATATGTTTGGTGTGTATTTTTCCAACCATCCTGATTTACGTCGTATATTAACAGATTATGGTTTTGAGGGTCATCCGTTACGAAAAGACTTTAAGCTTGATTGAGATGATCTCGATGTGCTAAGTTTGACTTTTCTTTTTGCTTTTTGCTACGTTTGGCATTGTTAGCTTGGTAGAGAACATTTTAGAAAAAAGCCAAGACAAATAAACAGCCCTTACTGACTGTGGGGCGTATTTTAACTCGGTCGGACAGTTAAACTCGGACTACCGAGTTAAGCGAGCGAGAACACATTTGTAATTAAATTAAATTCTAAGTGATAAAACCTGCAGCACTCCATTTGTTGGCCTAATGCTATGATGCTCCTGTCCACTTCATAGTGCAAGCCTCATGTTTGAGAAAATGTCATTCATCACAACTCAAGACGAAGTGGAATGTGACTAGATGAAGAAGAAGAAGAAGGACACAAGATTGAATCTATGTCATCTCCCACCTCCTCTTGCCATCATCATTTCCCAGATCCTTCCTCACCTAATCATCTACTCCGCTTATTAACGATGAAATATGAATGAATGCATAAACAAGAAAGAATGCATGGTTGAATTATCCCCCAGAAAGGGCCATCTTTGATGCAGCGCCAACCAGGAAGAAGGGATGAAGGTCCACCATAGCCAAAGGCAAACCTTCTTGTCGTTTCCCACCCTTGTACCCTTCCTTCCTCTATCTCCATAGCCTTACCACTCCACCTCCATAGCCATGGAGGTCTTCTTCCTTAGCTTTAGATCCATTGCCATCTGCCAAGTGCTCCGCCTTACTTTCCCTTTGGGTAAAGCAACAACATGACTTCAGGGTGAATGCCCAGACATGTAATTGATTCAGAACCTAATGATAACAAGAAAAAGGGCCAGTAACAAGAAAAAGGGCCAGTGCGGCTCTGCCGGCGTAACGGCGTTAGGAAAAGGGATATTGGAAATGCAGAAACTTCACAGAAAGAGTCAATTGAGAGAGATGTATTTGAAGAGGTGTGGATAAGTGGGTGCTAAATTGTAAAGGGGAAAACGTTTTGAGAAGCGTTTTTGTAGGGATGAGCAGAGAAGGAGATGGGTTTGGAAGGTGGACAGAAGGGTGGTCGGTACAGGAATCAGGAAGTTGTATGGATACTGAGCTTGTCACCTTGTTGGTGACGTCGAATGGAATAAATGTATGGAATGATGCGGACAGCCTGACACAAAAGAGGAGCGGGAAAACGTTGAAGCAAAGGAGTCGACAAAGTCAAAAGGAGTGAAATGAGTGAATGTGAAACAAATAAGAGAGACATCGAGTACAAAAAAGGCAGTGTTTGTAAATTGTAATCCATTTCCAAGTACATGGTAGTGTACAAAATTGAGGCAACCGTAAAGGTTGTTCGTGAAAAAAGAGCACCGTGAGTAATGTACGTGCTGTCAGTTAATGTTATCAGCAGTTCAAAGAGGTTGGAATAGGTTGGGAGGTGACGGGACAGAATGTCAGTGTGCGATCG